TATAATTTTGATATATATATAAATTATATACAAATTTTACTTTTTATATATATATATATATATATATATATATTATAGAGATTTACAGTGACTTTATTGAACATATTTATCTGTTAGGTAATAATAATACAGCGGAATCTCTATAACTCTCAACTTCGTAAGTCGAAATCGTCAGTAAGTCGAAAAAAAGGCCATTCCCTTCCGCTGAACCCCTTAATACGCGGTATCTCGAATTATTTTATACTTTATAACTCGAAAAAAATGTTATTTCCCTACGAAGTTTTTTTTGCGCCGGAAGCAATTGGAAAGGGCTACCCTTTATATAGGGAGGCGGAAAATGCATTACGCAGACCACGATAGCCGGTCTATCGTGGTTATGAGGGACTCACTGCCTACCGGGGGAACCTAAGTGATACCCTCTAAAAACCGCCGTTAGGGACTAGCAACTGGCTGTTTAAGCTTCTTATGCCGTATCGGAAGCGACCCTCTTTTGGGAAAAGAGGGCGCAGTGGCTACGAGCCGCTGAGGGAGTGCCTACGAAGGCAAATTAATTATGAATAATTTAATTTAATTAGAGTTTGCCTGAGCCGCCAGGAGGCAGTTCAGGTCGTTTGTCAGTTTATTAGGCGGGTCCGAGTGAGAGTTTCTCGGCCTGCGGACTCGATAGCGAGAGGGGGGCGGGGCTGCATAAGTAGCTGCCTCACGAATAAGACGATTGGAGTGCGACTCTGAGGCTTTGAAGAAGTTTTCAGAGAGTTTTTTAAGAAATTGTTGGATTGTAGGGAGCTCTAGGTCCTGATGAAGGTCGGCATTACGGACGTACCAAGGTGCGTACGCAGCTCGACGACAGAAAAGGTTTTGAACTATTTGGAGTTCATTAATAATTTTAGGGTCGGCGTGGGCAAAAATGGGGCCCGCGTAGGACATGAGTGGTCGTATACAGACCTTATAAAGGGTACGCTTGTTTCTGAGGGACATTTTACTGTGTCGGCCCAACATACTGTTGAGCCTACTCAGGTCCCTACGAAGTATTGATAATACATATTTATACTCTATAACTCGAATTTCAAAAAGGAGACTCCGTAAGTCGTAAGTAGTAAAATATAAAGACGTCCTACTTGGAATTCCCCGAAATAATAGCAATAAAATCCAAAATGAATGTTCGGCTTCAGGGCTTCTAATCTATTGTTTTTGTCTTATACACGTGCAATGAATGAATACGAGTGCATTCATAAAACTTTCTAAGTAACACAGCTGTGAACGTTACGTTTGTTCCTTGACACAGGACACGATTACTTTTAGCGGAGCTTGTCCGTCAGTATTTATTTTGGCTTTAGTTGAGTTTGAAAAAATAATTAATAAAAAATCTGTAAATAATTTCAATCAAAAGAAGATAACGGATTTTTTTAGTGTACAGTGATTAATATGTAATGTAAAAAATATATACTATAAAACGTAAGTTGAATTTTTATTCAAATTCGACTCTACAAATCGATAAATATACTTAGAAATCGCGCCTCTGTAAGTCGAAATTTCAGTTTCAGTAGTTAAATCATATGTATCTCGGAGTTCTTGTTAGGTCGAAAAGTCGTTAACTCGAATTTTTTTGCATTTCCCTTGATATTTGAGTTATAGAGATTTCACTGTAATAAATCACTAAGTATAAATATTAAAATAATTACTTACTAGAATAAATTATTATGATATTTACATATCCTTACCATTATCTAATTACAATATTCCTTGCGAGATCAGCATAATGTATTCGTGTCCATTCTGAGTACCCGGAAACTTATTTTATGCTTTGGAACATGTACCCTATCGCGGCAATCAAACAGTGTCAAATGTTGTGCGTACGTCGCGGCAGCGACGATTGTATGCGATATCGATAGAATCCACCGGCGCGACTTTGTAATTCCGAGTTGCTGCAAAATTTCTTTGACAGGTCAGTTTCCGACCTTTGATGATGCTGACAACAAGACGCCGCGCACCATTAGTGCCGATGGTCAAAACTAGGGATGCACTCTTTTTTCTTTTAATGGATATTTTCATACATAATACATGTATGTTTATAGTATTGTTTGTGTGTGCATGAGTTCTAATTTCCAATTTTTTTATATATTTTTTGCGTCTCATAGAGTCCCTAAGCGTATACCGAAACTCCTATTCTCCCTGAAACGACACTCAGTCCTAATTGCGAGACGCAAGAGTCTCGCAGGCCTAATCTTGTCTTGCTTAAATCTTGCACGGTCAGTCTTGGTCTTGGTCTTGCTAAAACAAGGCGGTCTTGGTCTAGCAAAAATGTTAGATCAAGACCAAGACTGCAAGACCAAGACCGATTTTGGGCAACACTAATCTGCATTTTGATTTTTAATCGAAGATAGATATAGATGTCTATGGACCACAGCATCCACTTACCATCAGGTGGACTGTGTGCTCGTTTTTCACCCTTATTCTGTTAAAAAAAACTCGGCAAAGAAAAAATAAAAACAAAATCGAAGTAACTTTAATTTTCTTAAGCTTTCTACCTCGTACAGCGACTCGTAGTCTACGCGTTCAATGCCATGCTAAGTAGTAAGCTCCTAACCTCAGAATAATAACTAAAGTATATTGTTCTGAGCGTCTTATTACCAACTATAATATCACGATCTACATGACAGTAAAAAGACCAGTCGTGATCTAAATATAAATAGTGAGACTTGCACGCTGATGCAAAAAGATAGTTGGAAAATTTAATTCTTCAAAAATAAAGTTTAAAGAATATTATATTTTTTTATAAATTTATCGAGTCAATACGATAAGATATGAGGATGAATCATGATTCATGAATTGGAGGCGCTGTATCATCAAGAATCGATCTTAGATGCGCAAACCACTTAGAAACAATTGATAACATCAGAGATGCTAAAAAATCTCCAATAAATCACGCAACGGGAAAGACCAAAATGGGTGGAAAGATTGTAAACTTTATTTAAAGAATATTATATTTTTTTATAAATTTATCGAGTCAATACGATAAGATATGAGGATGAATCATGATTCATGAATTGGAGGCGCTGTATCATCAAGAATCGATCTTAGATGCGCAAACCACTTAGAAACAATTGATAACATCAGAGATGCCAAAAAATCTTCAATAAATCACGCAACGGGAAAGACCAAGATGGGTGGAAAGATGGTGTTAAATAAAAGGACTGAGGAGTATAGACAAGACAATATTTTAGAGAAGGAAATGTATATTCCATGCAAGTCGTTGACTGCTTATTAGTCGAATTTCCTGCTAAAGCTTGCATCTTCGCCAAAGTACGGTCTCAACGAGTTGGTGTGGAAAATTTAACTGACGACACCAAGGCAGTCGATCACAGATATCTTCAAAATTATCATAAGCATCATCAATTTCCTAATATAAGAAAGATCTGGTAAAATAGGCGTGATCATTTCACTCATACCTGCATTGGAGATCCCAGGAGAGCCGCATCAAAAGTGCGAAACATCTGATACTGCGATCGTAACTCCGCCTGTCAAGCATGACGTAACGGCAAATAATCCCTCTTTCTGGGAGAGTCCATGTCCAAATGACAGTTACTTATAGTTCAGGAATAGTGTGTGTTACCTACAATATTTAGAAGTTATTGTAATAGGATACAAAGTTTTTAAATATAATACAGTGGGTAATGTCTAAAGAGCAGGCAATAGGTAGGAGGGATTATTTTTTGTTATTACTGAAATTAAACAATATTAAAGTCCGCGTGCTTTATCTTGGCAGGGCTGAAGTTAGTCGCAAGGAGTTTCGTAGATATAGTTTTTATGACCAAAATGGTCGCACTTAAGTAACGCACTTTGCGCGTTTACATTCACTTAAATGATAGATTGTCGTTATTATCGATTTTATTTTATACTATTTATGCTTCATTAGCATTCATTTATTGCTTATTAGATGTTAATGCAACATGTAGTTTTATAAAGGTACAGTGATAATGATGATGTACATTAAAGATTTTATTAAAAAATTGAAAGTTAAATTATTTTGGTTTTACTGAAAGCATTTGTTTATCACTTACCCACTAATATCGTATATTTACTATGCATTCAAACTGTTTATCGTAAAACTTTATTAGATACTATTTCTTTATAGAAATACATAAATATATTTTCATTATAATAATAATTTTCAATATATTCTAGGTATAACCAATATAGACACAACAGACTGTTTCCCTAAGCAATCTTAGCAGCGAATATGACTAACGTCGCAGATGTACATGCACGAATGTCTCGGAAAGCCAACTCCAGCTCAGCAATTTTACGCCAATCTCCAAATCAGCGGCAGTGGAATGAGAAAATTATGGAAGGCGGCGGCGGCGTTTCTTACACTATGAAATAAAGATATTTCATTTCATTTCTGTCGCACCGTCGCGTAGTGTAATGGTTCCAGGTTTTCCTAATGGCCTTCAAACATAGATTTATTGTACCTAGTAGACAAGATCTAACTATATAGGTACAATCAATAAAGTTGTTAATGCGATTTCTAGTGATACTTATTTCAAAAATATTTTGAAACATTCTTAAAATAACTTTAAGCGTCATAATATCATCCAAGCTTATGTTAGAATCAAAATGATGCAAATATTTGGCCATGAAACTTCGACAATAGTGACGCAAGCGCAAGCCTCTCATCAGAGAGTAGTATATTCCTTGCGCTTGCGTGATCTTAGTATTATGTACCGATAAACGAGTTACGTACGATCTCGATCTTTTCTTCATTCCATTCGATCTAACTGTATTCTTGCACAGGACAGTTACTATACTCTCTGCTGTAAACTTTAGTTGTGTACGTGTGTAATATTAATGACAAGCGTTACCAGTTGTGCTGTTATATTTAGGTTCTTTTATAATAAAAGAACATTGGAATAAATAGTACTCACAACTAGTCTCGTTTTTTGCTTAGTAATGTAAAGTGTTAAATTTTTTAACTTAGTAAAATATAAATCGTTGCAAATATGGAATTGTGTGTGCGTATGCAGTTTTTGTTAATTGGACTTTTGTTACAATTAGGAATTTGTAAGTATCGGTCTGTTTCTTTACATATATTGTTTATTTTAAAATGAGATTAGAAGAGGTGAATGGGTCAAGAATATATTATCATAGCAATTCTTTATGCGATAAATATCTTTATAAGTATCGAAATTATTATTGAATAACTTCTAAGTAACTATATATACTTACATAATACGTAATGATCATATCTTCATCGCCAACGCGTAAAGAGACCTCGTCTGCTAGACATGAATATTTTCCATACTAACCTTTTTCAAGGTCCATAGTGCGATTAGGTAAAAAGAGCCTTTTTTATCCCCCCCCCCCTATTCACAATAGGTATTTTTCTTGTATGGTATAGGCGTTTTACGGTACATAGATAGTAAAAATTAATACACCCGAACCCAAAACAATTAGCTGTAGACACAGAATAAATAATAGTACTACGTACTGTAGATCATACAAGTACTTGTTACGTACGGGAATGAAACAGGCGATCTCGCTGCCGCAGCTAAACTCTTACTCAATGTGCTAAGGACCCATTGATAATAACGATAATTTATGTAATATGGAACCCATAAAAATATTTCTTTGCAGGCTCTAACAAAATGCAGCGATATAATCCTAACACAGATTTTTTACTCCACGAAGCTGGAGGAATCACAACAGCTCCAAAAAGAGATTATGTTGCAGAATTCCCTTCGCTAAAGCCATCAACAACAACGCTACAACAATCAAGAACAACGCAAAATTTAAACAGTAATTCTGGGACAACCTTGAAACCTCAGTCACCAAAGAGGGATTATGTGGCTCCCCAGTTCCCGTCTTCTAAACAAACGCCAGCAAATACTCATAAAACAACTTCACCTCAGAATATTACTCCTAACCATAATGCTTTAGGTCCCACACTCAAACCACCATCTTCACCAAAAAGAGATTACGTCGCGCCACAATTCCCAACTCTCGAACCAATACAAGATAGTAATAAAAAATTTACAACTAATGTTAAGGATCTCATAAACTTTTACGATAATATTAACAAGGATAATAATAACAATCCAAGAAAACCAAGTTACAGTTCCATACTACAAGGATCAACCGCTGTAACACCGAGCACGCCATTAGCAACCCCTTTAACACAAAAAACTACACCAACTACTAAAAAACCTATGAGCTTTAGTTCGGTGGTAGCTGGCACATCAAAACACACAACAATAAATCCCACACAAGCCACGCCACATGTTCAAAAACCAACTATACCAAATAGTGGTATAAATACTCAACCGACTGGTCGCCCTGTATTGCCAAGTTCCATATTAAATAACAATGAAAATACAAATCAAGCCAGCGGGTCCAACATAGCTAGTGATTCAGAATTGCAAGCTCTCAGTGAAGAATTGTTGAGGAAGGATATAAATAATGCCGCCAAATACGTAACAATTAACTATCAGGGCAAGACAACATCTCAATCCAAGGAAGATAATGCTCCGCAACCGTAAGTAGTGACTATTTTCACGAAATCTATCTATACATATAATAAATCTGTAGAAAATTATTTGTTTACGATTCACGCAAAAAGTACTGGACGGATTTCCAAAATAGTTGGTGTATTGGCAGTAAATGATGGCCTATAACTAGTGTTGCCAGGTGTCCCGATTTGTGCGGGACGTCCCGTTTTTCAGGGGTCTGGTGACACATCCCGATTCACTCTTGATCGGGACGCCAAATGTCCCGATTTTTCACTAACCTTCTTAGTTCGTGCTTTGATCAATAATTTTCGTCGTCAATTCGACGATCATTTTTTTTAAATTATTTTACTCGTAAGTAGTACAACAGTACCTAACTTATACGTTGGAGTTAAGGTAAATTTATTGAAATACAAACGTCTCGTGAGTTAGTTCTACGGTAGAACTTACCTACAAGGCGTTTGTATTTCATTAAAAAATTACTAGTGGTAGAACTTCTACCCTAAGTAATTTTTTTCAAGCGGTTGTATTGTTTGTCTTGTCTTTGTCTCAATAAGTAAAATGAAATTATGCGTACGATGCAAGTATTTTGTCTGGGCGATTGAGGATAACTCGTGGCAGCCAAACAGGCTACAAAACCGTGGTTTTTTGTAGCCATTGTAGCTGTCCCGATTTGAAAACCAAATTATATTATATTATTGTTGCAATGGTTGTGGTGGTTCTATTAGTCATAAAAAGGAATAAATAAGTCTATAGAAAAGTGTGTATGTGTGTGTGTGTGTGTGTGTGTGTGTGGGGTGTGAAAATGAAACTCATCGCGTAACGCTAGTAATTAATGAGTGCGTTTGGCAGAAAAAAGCGTTAGCAAGCGCTTGTAAGCAAAATGGCGATCGTAAGCGGTAAACGCTGTCAAATCGTAATTAGCTATTTTCCTCTAGGACACGAAGTTAGTTTTAACCGGGGAACCTAACCTAATTTAAATATATGTTTGTAAAGTATTCATATTAAAAACTTACCAATCACGAATTTTTAATAACATATATATGTTTATTCATTTCATTATATTACTTAAAATTAATATTGCACAAAACAACTTATAAAGTCTACTTCAAAATAAACAAATTAAATAAGCAAAATGGCGGATTGTGTCAGCGCTACTGAAGTTGGCAAACGTGTCCTGGCCGAAAACTGTTTAGTTTCGCCATTTTGCTTACAAGCGCTTGCTAGCGCTTTTTTCTGCCAAACGCACCCATTATTTATATACCACTAGAGATCCGCCCCGGCTTCGCACGGGTGATTTCTGGATCTCGATAACATCGCCACCTACCGGGTCCAAATGTGCATCTAAACCGTCGAGAGACTCATTCAAACACACACAAAAATAGTCATCAAAACCGGTCGAGCAGGCTTTGAGTTTCAGCGAGACTTTGCTTAGCTCCTGATCTCTGTGGTAGCTCAGGGGCTAAGTGCTCTCTGTAGATTGAACAGCACGCGAGCAGGTTCGTTCCCCGCCAGTATCATTGAAATGTTGATTTACCACGTGTTCGTGAATGAAAACATCGCGAATAAACCTGTTTGAGAAATAAAATAAAAAAATCAAAACTTGTGAAGTTCGGCAACACGCGCTGTGACCTCGGCGATGGACACTTCCTTGCCATATAACTTTCTTAGAAACGAGAAGCGGCCTTTACCCGAGAATGGGATGTATATAGACTGAGACTTTTTTTTATTTTTCAATACATGCAATAATTTAATCTATATATTTAGAGGATGCATTTCGGAATTAAACACATTAATAATGTAAGCTCTATTAAATTCTCTTTTACCTATTAAGTTGCTGCTTTGTAATGGAAAATTGCAATAAAAATATTTTTACAGAGAATCTTTACTTAAACACGATATTTGCCGAAACTGCTAACACATTCCTCCATTTTATGGACAGTTTATTAAATCCCTTGCATTAAAGTCTGCTACACGACAATCGACTATCAAAAAGTTGTTTTAACTTTAGGAAAGCGGAAGTCTGTTGCGGCAAGGTGAAAAATGTGGTGATTCGGAAAGCGTCTGTAGCTTTAGCTGTGCTAGTTTTGGTAACGTCTGTTGTGCGGTATGTGGCTAGGCGTTGTCATGAAATGCTTCTTCAGTACAACACTCGCTCACATACGAAGGCTGGCGAAAAGCAGTTCACAAATCTGAGTAGTCCGAGAGCCAGTAATAATTTGCATGAGATGACAAGAAGTTATGTAAATAACACCAACATTAAATCACCAAACTGTCATCATAAACTTCTGGATGATCTTTCGTTTTGCGCACTGTTTGTATCAAACACGGTTGAGCCAAGCTGCTCGACTATAGAGGTACCGTATGATGAGTGTAGAAAACCAGAGACCCTTTTTGTTTGTAACGAGGCATTGTATTCTAGTCCTCAGGGGTGTCAACGCACCTACATTTTGATTCTTTGTCAAGAAAAGGTAGTGTCGTGTGTATGACTGTAGATGTCTATTATCGCGATTCTCTTTTACGATTAAGATCCGCTTCACAGGGTAACAATTTCACTCTAAATTCCTTCTATGCTGATTTGGCATATTCATTTTTATGCTGATTTGGCAACATAATACAAGCTGAGTGCAGTCCTCTTGCTGTGCGTTGTTCGTGCGTGAGCTACCCACTTTGTCAAGCTTCTTTATTCTATCGATTTTACGCAAATTATGTAACATTATATTGACTTTTAGGGGAAGGTGGCCACCCAAAAGCTTGAATGATTGCCTATTAGATAAATATAAAAAAAATACGTTACTTTATTAATGTACTCTCTGAACCTAATGTAGTCATGACATCTTATTCTTATTTTGACTTATACCAAGAGATTTTACAGTATTTTTAAGTTTAAAGCCGAAATGGAAAATTGACCACTTTACCTAGTTGGGTAAAGTGACCTGAACATGAACTAACAAAGCGGTTAAAATGGCATAGTCTCTATAAAATGCAATTATTATTAGATTAACTCAAATTTCATTTAAATTCGACTCAGGAAATAAGTTTATTCATTAGGTATTTTTCATTGTTCATTAATCACACACACACAAATATTATTAAGAACGAAATTCCCATTTCTTCGTTACTTATAGCATTTATAGCTTTTTCCATCGCAACCGGGTCCCATGTCTGCTGCTGCGACATCTGTTTATACGTATTTGGCATATCTAAAACAATACAAAATATTATTTATATTTACAAGAAAAATTAGCACTAAGACTGAAACGGCACGCAGCCAAAAAAACGACTCAATTGCCAAATGAGGTTATATTGTCCTCCTTTACCGTGAAATAAGCAGTTCATTAGAGGGATTAACTGATTAAATATTATATCGTTATCATTTTTTATATTGAACACAGTAAATTATTACAATGTTTCAACCGCTTACCTTAGATCAGAGACCACAAAAACCACCTTTTTGATAATAAAATCTGTCCGCGTGAACTGAGCGCGTCGGCGTTTACTGGAGCAATATGGCGTCGGCCAATGAATAATTTCCACAAGCCATTGACAAATGGCGCTACTTGGTTGGTTCTTAAAAAGAAGGTGGCCACTTTACCCGCCTGGGCCACTTTAACAAACCTTATCCTACATCAAAAACCGACGCTAGTTTAGTCTTAGTTTGAGACGGATCTGCTTTCAGCTTCCACTATTCTATTCTATAGCCTTCTCTTCCTTTTTTTCTGAAATTTCTTTTTAATTTCCCTAAATAGGGCAATAGAACCTGAAAAATTGGACACCATCAATCTTTTTGTCAATGCCAGTTGTTTACCTTACGTAATACCTTATCATTATCTCTCTATATACTTTCCTTGTTTGCAGATTACTCACCATAGCGTCTGAAGCTTGGAATATTCCAACTATTCAAAAGTTTGTTCCGTTGCTGGATAACTACGAAAGAGATACGATGATTAATGAATATGTAACGGCACAGGTTCGAAATTTTATGAGCTACCAACTGTTCCCTTGACTTCATCTGAGTGGAATTTATTACGATTGGATTTTATGGGTTTTAATTTTTTTGTTCGGAATTCTAATTCTTTTTCTGACATAAAAGTAGCCTTAGCCAACTATCTGCCAGTGAAAGCCCCGTCAAAACGGGCCCAGGTTATTTCGGAGATTAGCTGGAACAAACGAAGTTGCAGGCATCTAGCTGATAATAGAGGTAGTTTTGTGATGTGGGGTCTGTGTACATACTCGTTTGTCATCCATAATTTTATAAAAAATCAATTAGACCCGGTAACCAATGTACTTGGTTCTGGATGGGATACGAACTCGGAATCCACATTTTCATAACCCGATACTCTAAAAATTGGTCACAATCTGAATATAATACCATTTGTCCAAATTAATTTGTAGCAGGTAGTTATGACTTTTTAGATAAATTAGTACCTTATAGGCTTGTAGCACGTGCTGAATTGTGTTCCTGAGTGCCTTTGAGTGCATTGTTATTCTTACTTATAGCGTATAGTATTTAATGATAATTAGTTTTACTTTGTAGCGAAGTGTAATGTTTAGTTTAAAACATTAGGTAAACATTTATACATCGAATATTTTTTCATTACTCCATTTCTTCCCCGATAACCATTTTAATGACTACCTACAATGTAATGCGAATTTTCTATTAATAATTGGTAAAATTTACACAACCAGCAAAAATAAACTTTCAGGAAAGAATTGAAGAAAACGCCTTTATGGACGCTATCATGTCAACAACAGTCATACGTCACTTGATGAATTTCTTTAAGGAGAAAGGTAAATTAAAGACATGTTACTCGAATAACATAAGTTAACTATGGCGAACTATATAAGTAATATAATTTTCAAGTAAAAATCTATAAACAAATTAAATTAAAACATAAATATTTCTTATTAACATAATAGACAAAGTTGATTTATTAACATAATAATATCGATTTGATAAGACTGATGTTGTTTTAGGTTATGTTACACCAGATCCTAGACAACAGAGAGATTTTTTGAAACAATTATGGTTTGGTTTATATTCTAGAGGCAAAGGTAAAATTAGTAGCTCCGGTTTCGAACACGTATTTGTGTCAGAACTCAAAAATAGTGAAGTGTCAGGTACAGTATATGTATTTTATTTTTATACATTTTTAAATTCCAGCTTTTAGCGATATCTGTAATAAATCATCGGGCATAGCGTTGCCAGATGTCCGGATAAAGCCAGACAAAGTCAGGCTTTTTGGTTGCGTGCACTGGCGAAGCTAGGGCTCCAAACTAGGGCAAGCCCAAGATATGGTTTTGTTGTTTTTAGCAGTTTTATAAAAGTACACTAATTTTGATCTGTCTCCACTCTTCAATTTCATATACAGTGCTCTCGGGGACGTGTTTAACAAAGCACACAGAAGGCATACTACTGTTAGATGGATTGTATGACTATCAGCAATTACATATCTTCGATGTCTTTGAAAAAAGCCGTTTGGGTTTGCTTGAGCGAAGAAAAAAGATCATATACAATAACTATACATGAACAAAGTACAAACTATGTACAAAATTAAAAAAATAAATTATTTATATTCTAAATTGAATGGTTTCTCTTTCTTATGGAAAGATTTGATTACGTCCGTGTAAAATGTTGGTAAACATTTTAACTGTACCAATAACTGTTTTTTAATTGCGATAATTGATAAGTCCGAAAGACGCTCTTAATCTTGTGTATTTTCTCACCAAAATTTAAAGATTTTACCTTTTCCTCGCCGATTAGCACTATAACACACTTCAATTCATCACAAGGAACACTTCTCTATATATACACTCTGATCTACACTATATACTCCAATATTATCCTCCATTTTCACTAAAAATCTTTGAAAAAGCATACATTTTCAACAGACAACAAAAACAAACATAAACTTTGAAATGTAAAGTGAACTTGCGAACGTATCGCCCGCACGCTCGCGCACTCCTAAACAACTTCAGAGCAAAGACCAGCTTTTGGTTCCATAGTAGTTGCTATATAAACATTTCGTAGTTATATTTCATTATAGAGCATTTTTGTCACAGGTTAGAAAGGGAGCGATTGTCTTCTCGAAAGCCAGGTAAAAAGCCAACGCGTGTGAGAGAGACGATTAATAACTCAAATCAACTCGTTGCTTTCATTAATTTTGACAGTCCATTGTGTGTTCGCTTTCAGACAGAGAGAACACGAATCAGTGTGTTTCGAATTGAAAGCAAACTGCCAAGTGTTGACATTACATATATGCTACGAGGTTATGACCTGTGTAGAACAGAGGAGCGCGCGGAAAATTTGAAATAGTTTGAAACAGTTTACGAGTTGTTTTATTAGTTGATATTATTGATTGAGCAGATTGAAAAGGCAAACCTGGCTTTTCGACTTCTATGGAGCCTTTGCCAAATTAGACGGTGTCCGGATTTTGTTAGGCTTTTAAATTTGACCATTTCTTTAAATTTTTCATATACTTACATACATACTATTGCAATTATTGAAGTTAATATTGTAATGAATATTGAATCATTAATAATAAAGAAGACTGATTTATTCAATTGTTGTTATTTCGTTAGAACTTAAGAAGATTTTACGGTAAATGATAAAAAGCATTGTTTTGCTTAAATAACGTCTTTTACTAAGACACAAAAATAAGGGTGACCGGCCTTTTTACAAAAATGTCCGGCTAAGCTCGCTGGTCTGTCCGGCTTTTCGGTTTTAAGACCTGGCAACTCTAATCTGGCAACTGTATAACATCACTGTGTAAGAGTCAAATTTTCCTAAATTTAGTTTAATGGATGCTTAATATAGCTTGTTCACATAAAATAAAAAAAACATCTTTCTTCAAAATATTGAAAAATTCTCATCGGATTTATATGATATACAATAAATTGATTAAATCCAATTGTTCATTTTTGTAGGTTTAGACCAGTCGTTAACAAGACATAAAATTCAGATCTGTGTATTTGTTTCCGAAACAGACTTAGATTTTTTGCAATTTTTTTTTTCAGGATTACATAATTGGATATATTTTTCAAAAGAAGAAACAGCTAACCGAGTAAATTATTTAGGGTATCTAAAATACGTCCAAATAAACGACGTAAGTATTCAAGCACCTATTCATGCTTTAAATTAAGGAACTATCATAACTCTCGAATAAATTTATAAATAACGATATTAATATTTCAGAAAGGGGTCGTCATTAAATTTCATTTTAATCAACAAGGAGTCGATAAACCAGTGGACAGTATGTTTATTGGCACGTCCCCAGAATTAGAAATAGCGTTATACACTCTGTGTTTCGTTACCCGTGTTGGAGAAGATTGCCGCTTGAAGCTTGGCAATAAAGACGTCAATATTTTAACCCACAATTTCAGATATCGAAGTAAATATTATATCGGCAGCGCCTTTCCTCAAATATAACATAAGACATGCCAACTGATAAAGTTGTGATTTCTTTAATTAAGTAATTATTTTAAACGATGGTTATTATGAAAAATAATGTTATTACATAATTGTTAACATGTGCGATAATATTTATCTACATATCTTATAATTTCAATAGTGTTAAATTTTATTCTTTAAACGTAAATAATCGAATAAATAAATCTGTTAATTTTGGACCGAACTACTATTTTTGTTTAATATTCTCCCAAATAAAGTTGTACAAAATTATATAAACCATTGGAGTAGTTTTCCGTACGGGATTCAACACTTGCGGTCTTCAACGCAGCTGCCAAACATTTAGCCACTGCACTACCGTGCCACCACGTCTGCAAATGAGATGGTAATACGAATAATTTGCAATTACTTATTTAAATTTTCCAGCTTTCGAGTTGGATATGATTAGAGATGGAGAGAGTATAAGATAACCTACAATTTTACTGTAAATTAGCAAAAAAAAAAGGAAGCTCAATCAAAATTACTTGTTCTTTTATTTTATGATAATTTGTAAAAGATGAATTACTGCTATAGACTATTACTGTTATTTTATGAAACAACGATATGAATTATTAAAGGCGTTTTGGTTTATAACGGGAATTTGTACGCAAATAGATTACTGCCATAGACTACCAAAAGAAAATGAGCTTTCCGCTCGAATTTAAATAAGTATGTAGAAATATAGATTTGATTAACCTATTACTTACGGTGAAAATATTATGTCGATCCGACCAAAAATAACAATTTTATTTTAATACAATAAGAGTGATAAACGAGCACACGTCCACCTGATGGTAAGTAGATGCTGTGGCCCATATACATCTACATTTATCTTCGATTAGGAATTAAAACATAGATGCGTTATCACCCCTGAGGACTAAGATGCAATGCCTCGTTTCCAGTAAAAAAAGGTCTCGGGATCTCTACACTCACCATACGAGACAGCATGTATTCTGTGAGAGAGCAGCTGGTATTCTGTGAGAGCGTACTTAGTACTTCCCCGATCAAGCCGACCCATTCGTCCTACAACCATAATATACCTGCAGCGTGGCTCTACCACCTATAAGTCTTCTTCAAAATGTCATAATTCATCAAAAACTGACGAAATCCTTATATATATAAATTATCAAAAAGATAAATTATCAAAAATTAAGCGATTTTGTTACAGTGGTTTCTAAGAAATATAAATTTCACTAAACCTAAAGTACGGCCAACGAGAAGCGATGCCAAATGTAAATAAAACAAATGCGTGTTTATTAGGAATAGCAGGGGTGCGTAACTTTTTGATAGTTAGATTATATATTTAACTTGACAATATAGTTGTGCCGGACGGGCGAAACTCTTCGGAGTAAATGTTGTCGAAGATACTTCGCGAGTCACTCACGTCCTACACCTATAGGTTTCGGAGGATACTTCCACTGCCGTCTTTGTAGGTGCCGCTGAGATAATGTAGACTGGATACTGTCGAGATAGTCATCCATATAGTGGTTTTGAATGATAGCTTCTACGGCTTCTGGATACTTACTATGTGTTTTTTAGCGTTCCAGTTCTTCGCGAATATGGCTGTGCAGGGTGAACTGACTGCACCGAACATGATCGACGTCATTCTATATTCTTGTGGAGCTTCATTACGTCGATCCCCTCTCCAGAGATATCTTAAGGCATCTCTGTCTTCGGGTCTGACTTTGACCTGCATGAACATTTCGGCTATGTCCGCGGAGACAGCGATATTATGGCGGCGAAAACGCATCATGATCCCTGGTAGTGATTGCAGTAGGTTTGGACCCGTGAGCAGGAAGTCGTTCAATGATACTCCCATTGTTTTGGCTGCGGCGTCGTGTACTATTCGAAACTTCTCTGGCTTCATTGGGTTACGGACGTCGAAATGGGATAGGTACCATGTTCTTCCCGGTGTGCTAGTTTTCGGTGCTATCTCGGCGTATCCTTTTTGTACTAGGGAATTCATTTGTTCATCATACTTCCTTTTTAGACCTTCGTCTCAATCTAATTTTCTTTTAATGGAAACGAGCCGTTTTATTACTGTTTCGTAATTACTAGGCATCTCGATATCCTTTTTCTTCCAGAGAAGCGCTGTTTCTATGTGCCCGTCTTGTAACTGACGGGTGCTGCTATTTAGTATATCTTCAGCTGGTTTTCTCGGATTGATGATGAGATATTCCAGCGGGAAATATTCGCGGAGTTGATCATCTATAGTCCCCTCGCTCTTGTGCAGCTCATTGGCTGCGTGTACGCGCTGATACGGGGCTTTAGTGTGTGCCCCGTGTAGCACCCATCCTAATTTTGTGAGCGAGGCGATTGGCTAGTGCGGCGGATCTCTTCGGATTTGAGTGGCTATCAGAATTCTCCAATTGTCCTGTCCTATTGGGATCCTTGGGTTGCCGGAGTCATATATTAGCTGCTCCTTTAGGTCTTTAAAGTGGTTGCACTTGGCTATGTCTGCTGCACGCACAGTCTGTGGCCCCAAGTTTAGGCTTGCGACCGTGCGTACTATGAATGGCACCCTTTTGCTGTGGAGACTCTTCAGCAAAACTTTGATTCTTCGGGATTCCGGTGAATCGAGGGTAGTGTTCCCGATAGCGGTGATCTTAAACGGGTCCAACCGCCCTGTAGCTCCTATTTGTTTGGCGATCTCTTCATCCATTAGTGAAACTGTTGACCCATCATCCAGCAGAGCGTGTGCGTTTACAGCTCCCGCCGGTCCAATTAATCGTACTGGAATTATTTTTAAATAGGCTTGATGCTTTGATACAGCGAATGAGTTAGCTACGGTTTCTTGAGGTTCTTTTTTTTGACCTCAGTCTTCTCCTTTGTATTATTATGGAGAAGTCGATTGTGTGTCGCGGTGCATCCTTCTATTCCACACTTATTGGTTTTGCATTTGTGTGTCTGATTTCTATAACGTAAACAGCGGAAACATAAATTATTTTGCTTTTGCGAGTTCCCATCGTTTGTTGATATCTGCTGCCTTAAATTTTTTACATTCGGATCCGTAGTGATCCTCCTTTTCGCACACTCTGCATTTCGGAGACGGCTTAGTAGTAGCCGCGTGTGCTCTATGTACTGAACGATTGCTTTGTGCTTCGTTTATAATTTATGGAGGCGTAAATGCACTGCAGAAGCGAGCTTGCTCGGTAATAAACTCGCTGAAGCAGCCGAGGTCTGATCTAGAGTCATATTTTTCGGTGTAGATTATATACCACTGGGCACGCATAGAGTGTGGCAGTTTGTCGGTGAGGTGTCATAGCAGCTCTGCGTTGACGAGGTAATGATCTCACTTTAGGGCTCGACGAGTGACGACGCTTCCCCCTCACTTTGCTCGCGAATGTGCAGATGTCTCTGGGTGCTTCTGTACAGCGTGCTAATCCTCGTAACTTCTCGGTTGCTGCTTGCGCGATTGAATCTGGACGCCCAAATTGTAGCTCCAGTTCTCGCATAATCTCATCTGGCTTAGCATGCCCGATGAATTCTGAAATGACTGTTTCCAAGGCTCTTCCTAGACTAGTAGTAGTAGTAGTAGACTTCGTCTTAGTCTAGCAGTGTTTTCAATGTCATTGAAGTAGCCTCGTGTTGTTTCGTAAATGGTACGGAATGAAAGCCACTTGGTATGTGCTCCGCTAAAGCTTGGCAGTGTCATTATAGCTTTCGACGCTGCGAAAGTATGCGACGATAGTGGCCCACTCTCTAATTTTGATTTGTCAGCGAGGGCGGCTATAGCGGGCTACGAGCGTGAGCTCCGATATAAATAGACGGAGCCCTCTGTCTTCACTTATGACGGGTTCCTGGCTAGGTTTCTTTGGCATGAGATCTTTGGGTACATCTTCTGGATAGGAATCCTGGTATGTGAGCTCTGATACAATCGGTAGGAGCCCCCTATCTTCATTAACGGTGGGTCCCTGGCTGAGCTTCTGTGGCATGGGATCCTTTTGTATATCTTCTGGATAAGAATCCTGGTTGGTGAGCTCCTTTTGGGGCTCACTGAGGTCGACAACCTCCGGGGGTGGCTTTGTGACGGTTTTATTAAATGGGGCCTTCCCTCCGGTGGTTGCGCCTTGATTTGACTTTTGTTTGGCTACAGAATTTTCGAGCCAAGATCGAACGTACTCACTTTTGCAGTGACCATCTTCATCATAGTCGTCTGATTCGTCTTCTTCTTCAGCCATCTGTAAGGAGATCTGCGCAAGTTCTAGTTTGATCTTCAATATTTCTTCACGAGCCTTCAAAATTCTTCTATTGGGCCGAACATTCTTCTTTGACTTCGTACTGCAATCGGTGTGGCTTCTCGGTGGCTCTTCGGTGTGGGTGTCTTCCCGGGCTGTTGGCGATGATGCACGGCTAAAGTCATCGTTGCCTTCTATCTGTTCCCTCTGCTTCGTTGTGCGGGCCGTAGTGGCCAGCGCGGGCAGGGGTATCCCCCCTCGGGGGGCAACATGGGGCCTCAGCTCCCTCTACCGTTGGCGGTGAGTGTGGTGGCATCTGGTGGTGGACGGCGGCGTTACTGGCCGACGAACCTCTTTCCAGACCGACGGTACACACCTTGGCTTCCCTTCCTTGCGAACGGGTGATCGGCATCTTGATTATGAAAATTCTTCGGTTTTAATACGGTGGTGACTATGTACCCGGTTCCGAAATACAAACGGATAAATCCGGTTCGAAGGACCATGGAATGTGCCGGACGGGCGAAACTCGGAGTAAATATTGTCGAAGATACTTCGCGAGTCGCTCACGTCTACACCTATAGGTTCCGGAGGGTACTTCCACTGCCGTCTTTGTGGGTGCCAAAGCCGACAAACCGACAGTGGGCGACAAAGGATTCGTGGAAGATGGTCTACTAGTATTTGAATCTAAGTCTACAAAAGACTATCATGAAGAGATGGATGGTGAAAGATTCCTTAATTGGTTCATTAATATAATGCTTAAGCTAGAACCAGGAAGTGTGGTTGCCATGGATAACGCTCCCTATCATTCGTAAGAGTCGAAAAAATACCAACAACCAGCAAATGGAACAAGCAGCAAATAATAGATTGGCTGCAAAGAAAAGGCAAATCCATGGACATGACTTATTTAAAAAAAAGTGTTATTAATGAAAGTTGCCGAAATCGCTCCACAATATAAATAAATATTTAATAGATGAGACTGCCAAAACTAATGGCATTACAATTCTTCGCCTACCGCTTTACCATTGCAAACTTAATCCAATTGAATTGGTTTGGGCCCAAATAAAAAATTATGTTGGTGCCAATAACTCCACGTCAAAATGAGTGACATAAAAAAATTATTAGATGACGCAATAGCATTAATAGACGCTAATCGTTGAAAGAAGTGCTGCGACCACGTGTTACGCGAAGAAAATACCATGTGGAATTTGGATGACATCATGGAACTTGCAGAACAAAATTCTTTCATAATTAAT